GCAGACTGGTGCAACCACTGTGGAGAACAGTGTGGAGTTTCCTCAAAAAACTGAGAATGGAACTCCCATTTGACCCAGTAATCCCACTTCTAGGAATATATCCCAAGAAACTAGAAACACCAATCAGAAAGGATATATGCACCCCTATGTTCATAGCAGCACAATCTACAATAGCCAGAATCTGGAAACAGCCTAGGTGCCCGTCAGCTGATGATTGGATCCAAAAACTTTGGTACACCTACACAATGGAATACTATGCTGCCATAAAAAAGAAGGAATTCTCATCATTTGCAGCAACCTGGATGGAATTGGAGAACATCATGCTGAGTGAAATAAGCCAATCAATGAAAGAGAAACACCACATGACCCCACTCATTTGTGGATAATAAAGATCATTATAAACTGATGAACCAAAAGATAGATATAGAGACAGTAAAGCAACAAGCAGATTGTCAAATTACAACGGGGAGTGGAGGAGAGTCTGGGGGAGACAATAAATCAACCCAAGGACTTGTATACATGCATATAAGTACAACCAATGGACATAAAACTCTGGGGAGGGAGGGGATACGTGGGAGGGAAGGAGGGGGGCAAAAAAAAATCAATAAAATATGTAAAAAAAAAAAAAAAAAAAAAAAAAAAAAAAAAAAAAAAACTTGTGATGGGCTGTCAAAGGAAAAAAAAAAAAAAAAAGTTTTGTTCTGTCTAAGGCTGGCTGAGAGGCAAATAGTCTTAGAACTACTGGATTATGGCTCAAATACAACTTCCCATATGCAAAAGAAAAACTTTAGATAGAAAAAAAAACCATGACAATATAAACTCAGTTTTATTTCATTTTTAAAGGAAAATGAATATATAACTAGTTTGTTTCAGTTTTAACTAATTTATTTTAGACTACGATGCACCGGTTGTGGAATTCAAACTAAGGAGTTATCACAGACCATTCTGATGTCCTCTTTAGAAGCTAAAACATAAATAAAGCAAAAACCTTTAACAGAGAAACATTATCAGTAGAAAAAAGGTAAAATATGGGGTATATAGATTGTTGAACCTATTTATACTTAAAAAACTATTTAAAATTATTTAAATACAATGGATATAGGCATATATATATATATATATATATATATATATATATATATCTCAAAGATTAGTCACCAGCCTGAAACCCAAAGTCTGAATTCTACTTCTGTCACTTATCCCTCACACAGAACTGATTTCTCTTTAAGTCTAAAAGTTCAGGTTCCTAGAATGTTGGAACAGCGACGGCCAGGCCTAGAGTGGCCAGGCACAAGGCAGTGGCAGCCAGACCCGGAGCAGCAACGGCCAGGCCCCAGAACAACAGCAGCCAGAACCAGAGCATCAACAGCCAGCACTGGAGTAGCCAGACCTGGGGCAGTGGCAGCCAGGCATGAGGCGGAGGCGGCCAAGCCCAGGGTGGCCAGTCCAGGAACACCCAGACCCGGAGTGGCCGGGCCCGGAGAAGCCGGGCCCAGAGCAGCCGGGGTGGGAGCAGCCAGACCCAGAACAGCAGTAGCCAAGCCCAGAGAATCCAGGTTGGGAGTGGCCAGGCTCGGAGCAGCCGGGCCCGGGGCAGCCGGGCCCAGAGCAGCCGGGTCAGGTGCGGCCAGGCCCGGAGCAGCGGCTGCCAGGCTGGGAGCGGCCAGGCCCGGGGGAGCAGGCGGGTCGGGTGCGGCCAGGCCCGGAGCAGCGGCTGCCAGGCTGGGAGCGGCCAGGCCCGGGGGAGCAGGCGGGGCTGGTGCGGCCAGGCCCGGAGCAGCGGCTGCCAGGCTGGGAGCGGCCAGGCCCGGGGGAGCAGGCGGGTCGGGTGCGGCCAGGCCCGGAGCAGCGGCTGCCGGGCTGGGAGCGGCCAGGCCCGGGGGAGCAGGCGGGTCGGGTGCGGCCAGGCCCGGAGCAGCGGCTGCCGGGCTGGGAGCGGCCAGGCCCGGGGGAGCAGGCGGGTCGGGTGCGGCCAGGCCCGGAGCAGCGGCTGCCGGGCTGGGAGCGGCCAGGCCCGGGGGAGCAGGCGGGGCTGGTGCGGCCAGGCCCGGAGCAGCGGCTGCCGGGCTGGGAGCGGCCAGGCCCGGGGGAGCAGGCGGGGCTGGTGCGGCCAGGCCCGGAGCAGCGGCTGCCGGGCTGGGAGCGGCCAGGCCCGGGGGAGCAGCCGGGTCGGGTGCGGCCAGGCCCGGAGCAGCGGCTGCCAGGCTGGGAGCGGCCAGGCCCGGGGGAGCAGGCGGGGCTGGTGCGGCCAGGCCCGGAGCAGCGGCTGCCGGGCTGGGAGCGGCCAGGCCCGGGGGAGCAGCCGGGTCAGGTGCGGCCAGGCCCGGAGCAGCGGCTGCCAGGCTGGGAGCGGCCAGGCCCGGGGGAGCAGGCGGGTCGGGTGCGGCCAGGCCCGGAGCAGCGGCTGCCAGGCTGGGAGCGGCCAGGCCCGGGGGAGCAGCCGGGGCTGGTGCAGCCAGGCCCGGAGCAGCGGCTGCCAGGCTGGGAGCGGCCAGGCCCGGGGGAGCAGCCGGGTCGGGTGCGGCCAGGCCCGGAGCAGCAGCTGCCAGGCTGGGAGCGGCTAGGCCCGGAGCAGCAGCAACCAAGTCCAGAGCAACTAGGTCGGGAGCGGCAGTGACCAGACCCGGAGCAGCTGATTGTGGAATGAACCAGAGCAACAGAGGCCAGGCCCTGAGCAGCCAGGCCCAGAACAGCTCGCTCCTTGCCTGCCCCTGCCCCACGGCTGCTTCTCAGACATGGCTGGAAACTTTCGTGGGAACTTGAGGGTCTGCTGAATCAAGTGATGAAGGCTTAGATCTGGATGTGTTGAGTTAGTTTAGGACTGGGGTGTTGATCTGTGAGTGCCTTGGGTGGGGCCTGGATGAGGCTGGTTGACCTAGAGGGAAATGTCTTTTGTGTGAAGTGTATCATTGGGCATGTGGAGGTATTATGGATATGAGAAAATGCTAAATAACTGATTTACTATCTGAAAAGGGATTTACTATCGGGGAAATTGAGGGAAGAAGAGACTGAACATAAACTGCACCTATGGATGAGGACAATGGGGGGGGGCGGAGGGTGGGGTGGGAACCTGGTGGAGGGGGGAAGAAATGAGGAACCTTTGTAATAATATGAACAATAAAGATTGATAAAAAAAAAAAATAAAAATAAAAAAAAAAAAAATAAAAAAATAAAACAGGCAGAAAAAAAAAAAAAAAAAAAAAAAAAAAAAAAAAAAAAAAAAATAAAAGTTCAGGTTCCTTTTTTTCATACTTAGGTTTTCCTCGACCTCTCCTCTTATCCTATCTCCAACTCCCATAATCCAGCATTAAACTAAAATTTCCTTGTAATTTTCTGCATTCTCCTCCTAAACACAATAACTACCTACCCTTAAACATATTTCCTCTATTCTATAATATCTTTGACCTAAATTAGTAAACTTCAGAGGCCCCTGCAAGAATAGGCTACTACAATAAAACAGAGCTTCTCTAGGAAGGATTGATATCCTTCTTCATCCTCCCCAAGAGATCACTGGATATTCCTAACAGGTGGTAAAGAATGAAGCACTTAACAAAACACTTCCTTCCACAAATAGCTGGCATTCTTTTCTTAAATGTCTCACCTTTCTTGAACTCTCTTAACCTTTTGCTCTGTCCAAAACCTTGAATATCTCTGTCTCTATCCTTATAACCTACTCACTCTCAGACCCCACAAAAGAAATAGGTTTCAACAAAACAGAAATTCTAGATCAGTTTCTGAGGTTGGTAGTGGAGAGACAGACTACGAATGAAGTGCAGATTGTTATTAAAAAAAGAAAGGACAGCTCCCTGGTGTGGCTCAGTGATTGTCAGCCAATGAACCAGGAGGTTATAGGCTGCCAGGCTCCATCCCCAGTGAGGGGCGACTAGGGGGGCAGTTGATAGATAATTCTCTCTCACCATTGATGTTTCCATCTCTTTCCCTTCCTCTCTGAAATCAATACAATTTTTTTTTTTTTAAAAGACAATGCAAGTGAGTACTTAAGTGAGGTGTGGTGGAAAAGTGTTCTTTGGTAGTTAGAGGAAAAGATCTTAGCATTTATTTATCGTCTTCCCTAAAAAAAATTTTACATTATCCATTAGCAAAGGTTTGGAATCACTGAGGTTTGAGCCTCAGTCTGCTCATCTGTGAAATGATGGCACTAACAGCACCTTCACCTCCCAGGGTGACTAAGAGAATTAAATAGGTGACCCATGCAAAGCTAAGAGCACACACAGTACCTGGTGCAGAGAAAGACTAACGTACATTATCTTAAAATCTTTACTGTCTCATGGTAACATTTCAATGTAGACACTTAGAGCTACCTTGGAATACTGACTTAGATAACATCCAATTAACCAGGGGCAAAAGCTTGATGCTAAAACAGAACTTTACTGAAAAAAAAAAAATACTCAGTAGTCATCACACGGATAAAGTGACTGTCGTTAAACTTTACAAAATGCAAATTCAGCTGTAATCATAGGCAGCTGTGCCTTTCAAAATTAAGTCATTATCTGTCCTCTTCTCCCCCCCTCCCCCTCCCCACCTCCAAGGACTACAGTACTCTGCTTTCATTAAAAGCCTTTTTCACAAGCCACAGCTTCTTCGATATCAAAACCTTTTGGAAACCTGGCTCAGAGGCAGCCACACACACACACACACACACACACACACACACTGTCCGCAGCGCCAGAAAGGATCCGTGTGGTCACCCTAGGACAACTGTCACCTGTCACCAGCACGTCTGGGTGCCCAATAGGGACCTGGGTCATGAGGAGGGTAAGAAAAGGCCGACAACTAGGGTGCCCCGAAACGGGAGAGGCTCTCTCTACTCGAGGATGAAGGCAGAGGATGATGAAGGTCTGACTGCGGGGGAAGCAGATTCTCTCGGGGAGGAGCAGATTCTAAGGGTGCGCCGCCTGCTCCCGCAGCGAAGGGCCGCAGGGGTAGCCCTCCCTCGGTTTCCCCCAGGGCCGTCCCTCCCCCAGCCCTCGGGGGGATACCTTTCTCGTCCTCGTCGATGCGCAGGGCCACGGAGATGTACTCGAAGGCCTGCTTGTGGAAGGCTCGGACGAGCTCGGCCTCCGCGCCCGGCCCCGGCAGCGGGGGCGAGGCCGCGCCCGGCGAGGTCGGGGAGCTCCTCTTGGCGGCCATGAGGGCGCGAGAGAAGCGCTGGCAGAGCCACGCGAAGAGGAGCCCCAGGTGGAAGGCGACCAGGCGCAGCAGCGCGAAGCCGAGCCGCAGCGGGTAGGAGAAGTAGTACAGGTTCCGCTTATGCGGCGTCTCCGGCCCGGGGGCCGGCCTGGGGGCGGGCCGCGCGGGCGCGGGGGCCGGGCAGGAGGGGGGCGGAGGCCTGGGAGGCACCGGGCTGCTGGGGCCGCAGGAGCCTTTCTTCTTCCCTCGCCCGCCCGGAGAATTCATCCACAGCTCCCACTGCCGCCGCCGCCATAACCCGCCTCCCGCACACCGACGGCGACCGAGGGACGGCGGCGGCCGCGGGCACGGCGAGGGCCGCAGAGCCCCGCGCGCCGGCCGGTCCCGGGAGCTCGGCACCTTCGCGCCCCGCCCGCCCGCCCGCCGGCCCCGCCCCTTTCCCTGCGAGCGGCCGAGAGCACGGCCGCCCCCTTCTCCGCGTCCTGAGGCCGGTGGCTTCTGCCCCTCCCTCTCCCTGTCGTCTCGGCCGCCTCTAGTAGCTCAGAGCCGCGGCCGCGCGTGCGCGTCCCCCTCTCGTCGCTTTCTCAGGCTCTCTCGCGCGCGTGCGCGCCCCCGTCTCTTTCTCCGGCTCTCTCACGCGCATGCGCGCCCCCGTCTCTTTCTCCGGCTCTCTCGCGCGCGCGCCCGCCGCCGTCTTTGTTGCCCAGAGCGCCTAGTGCGCGTGTGCGGCGTTCTCCATTCGGCCCTCTTTCTCCGTGGAACTACAGTTCCCAGTGTGCAGTTCGGTTCTGCGTCGTCGTCGTCGTCGTCGAGGGCCGACGCCCGGCGGACCTCACTGCGCCTGGGAGCTCCTTAGGTGGCCACTTTGTTCCCCAATTCTTACAGGAAAAGGACCACTGAGGTTGGAGGCCGTTCTGCTTGCTCGCAGGGCTTGTATCTCGGAGTGTTATCGTTTTAATTGTTTACTTCATTTTTTTTTTTTTTGTCTCAAAGGATGATTAGTCTGAGTTCCATCTCAGAAGCAATGGGTACCAAGCTGGGAATTACTTGAAAGGGAAACAATTGTAGAGACCAAAACGGAAATGCTAGCTAGCTCAATGGATCAAGTCAACTATTTCAGAGATTTAACTAAGTTAATACGTGTTTGGGTGAAGAATTAATTTATTTAAGTTAAGGGAATTCTTAAATTTTTCACAGTAATTGCTCCATAGTTGTTCTTGTTGTGTGTGTGTGTGTGTGTGTGTGTGTGCGCGCGCGCGCGCGTGTGTGTTTAATATATCTTTATTGATTTCAGAGAGGAAGGGAGAAGGGAGAGAGAAAGAGAGAAACATCAGTGATGAAAGAGAATCATTGATTAGTCAATCAATTATACTCTCCTAAGAATCTTGAATGGAGACACACAAGAATAGAAGGTAGGAACTGAGTATGAGCTGGTCTATCATTTCACCTCACTGAGAGCCCCAGAGGCGCCAGCTTCCTAAACTGGTCACTTGATGATGTAACCTAGCCAATAAGCTATTCAATCTATTTCTCTATTTGTTTCTCTATCTCAATATATTTTTATTGATTTCAGAGAAGAAGGGAGAGAGATAGAGAGAGAAACATCAATGATGAGACAGTCTCCTGAATGGGATCGAGCCTGTGCCCTGAATGGGAATCAAACTGTGACCACCTGGTTCATAGATCAACACTCAATCACTGAGCCATGCCAGCTGGGCACCACCATGGGTTCAGAATCCAAACACAAAGATGATAACTGGTGTAGTTATACATTTTGGCTAGTTTTTCCTGGAATTCCTGTCTTGGGTACTATTGCCTTCCCCGGGTGAAGGACATCAATGACCATTTGTTTCTGCTGGTCATGGACTTCCTGTTCTGGATAGTTACTGGGCCATTCATAGTAAAAGTTGATCCTCAAGCAGCCAGAGAGGAAAAGAGACCCACTCTTCTCGGGCCAGTCATATCAACTCAAACTGGTATTAATCTTCTTGATTAATCCTTTCCTTACCATCTCCAGCAGACACAATCTTATTTTCTCCCTTTTTATTTAACTTATTGGGAAGGAATTTGAGGCTTTAAAAGTCTGTTACTGCTCAATATAACATATTAATGACACACGCTACTTCAGGGTCTTAAGAGAAAAATCTAGGCTTCCAGAAAAAAACAATTTTATGTAGTCTGTTTATATCTCATTATGACAAATATATTTTTAGACCCTGAAGGATGAGCCATTTTTCTTTCCTGGTCATACAGGTTGTTGAGTTACCAGCCTCTGGTTTCCCATTTGCTAACTCTGCTAGTTGTGCTTAATATTGACTGCTTTTTTGTACCTTGGCCATTTTTTTTTTTTTTTTTTTTTGTATGGTAAAAGTATGGATTAGAGTCAGAAAGACTGCCCAGCCTGTGTGGCACAATGGTTGAACACTGAGCCATGAACTGAGGTTATGGTTCAATTCCCAGTCAGAGAATATGCCTGGGTTATGGGCTTGATCCCAGTTGGTGGTGTGCAGGAGGCAACCAAGCAGTGATTCTCTGTCATCATTGATATTTCTATCTCTCTCTCCCTCTCCCTTCCTCTCTTTCTCTCTCTCTCTTTATATATATATATATATATATATATATATATATATATATTTTTTTTTTTTTTTTTTAATATATATTTTGTTGATTTCTTACAGAGAGGAAGAGAGAGGGATAGAGAGTTACAAACATTGATGAGAGAGAGACATCGATCAGCTGCCTCCTGCACACCCCCTACTGGGGATGTGCCCGCAACCAAGGTACATGTCCTTGACTGGAATGGAACCTGGGACCTTTCAGTCCGCAGGCTGACGCTCTATCCACTGACCCAAACCGGTTCCGGCCCTTCCTCTCTCTTATATCAATAAAAACATTTATTTATTTTTCTTTATTAAGCTATTACATATGTGTACTCATCCCCCCACTCATGCCCTCGCCCTGCCTGGTGTCTTTGTCCTTTGGTTAGGCTTATATGTATGCATACAAGTCCTTGGGTTGATCTCTCCCTCTTACCCCCACCTTCCCTCTTGAGGTTTGAAGGTCTGATCAATGCTTCTGTCTCTGGATCTGTTTTTGTTCATCAGTATATGTTGTTCATTAAAGAAAAAAAAAAAAAAAAAAAAAAGAGGCCTTAGCTGGTTTGGCTCAGTGGATAGAGCATTGGCTTCTGGATTGAAGGGTCCGGAGTATGATTCTGATCAACAGCACATGCCTTGTTGCAGGCTCGATCCCCTGTAGGGGTGTGTAGGAGGCAGCCAATCAGTAATTCTCTCTCATCACTGATATTTCTATCTCTCTGAAATCAATAAAAATATATTTAAATTAAATAGATAAATAAAAAAATAAGTAGAGTTAGAAAGACTGGGCTTGGTATTCTGGCCCTGTCACTTACTAGTTGCGAGATATGGGACAGGTTCTTTAACTGGTTAACTCCTTTGTGAAATGGGTGGAATAAAAATTAGATTACCAAATGAAAGAATGCATCTAAAATGAAAGAATGCATATGCCGAAACCGGTTTGGCTCAATGGATAGAGCGTCCACCTGTAGACTCAAGGGTCCCGGGTTCGATTCCAGTCAAGGGCATGTACCTTGGTTGCGGGCACATCCCCAATGGGGGGTGTGCAGAAGGCAGCTGATCGATGTTCATCTCTCATCAATGTTTCTAGTTCTCTATCCTTCTCCCTTCCTCTCTGTAAAAAATCAATAAAATATGTTTAAAAAACAAAAAAACCTCTAGCATAATAGCCATAACAGAAGAGGGCTCAATAAATTTTGGTTTTGTCTCTTACAATTACAAAGCCATTCCAGAATTCAGACTGTACTGGGATCTCAGTTTTGAGTAATTTCAGTCCACATTTTCTGCCTTTTGGAATTACATCCCAGTCAAACCCATTTTCTTAATTAACATCTTCCTAAATTTGTCTCAAGGGAAACAGGGCCTGAGTTTTACCCTGGCCTTATAATCTGCCTGGACAGAGATGCTAAGCTTCTCAGCCATTTAACCTAAGTTTGACAGCCTCCCCGTTTTCAGATGGTGAGAACTTGGAGAACACTTAATCTTGAGCGGAATCTGGGCCAGTTTCACCAGGACAAAAAGGAGGAGCAGAGCACTGTGCTAACTAATTCAGGACATTCAGTCACTTTATCACTTTAATCCATTAATCTAATTACAAAGTGACTACGACCAAATAGTCTTTTGGATATTTTAGCTCTACTTCTCTCCTAAGGCACCCTGTAAACCTTCAGCTTGAAAGATTCTGGATTATTCGAAGTAGATATAAAAGACTTCTTTTAAATTAAGAGAAGAGTAAAATAAAATGGCAAACCTAGAACCAAACAGAGGAGATGACTGATCCTAAAAAAAAGGCAGAAAACTTGAAAGAAAAACAAAAGAGTTGAAGGCAAGGGATGGTAGGAGTAGAGTAATGATTAGGTGACTATTATCCTGTGTCTGTGTTAATAAGCAACAACACAACTGTGGACAATTATTTCCCTCTATTGAATCCACATTGTGGTGCATATTATTGATTCACTTGTTCAACAAATAGGTATTATGCATAGACAACATGACTGGCAATGAGTAAGGTGCCTGGATTGTAATAGGGAATAAGATTAAGTTTATAGTCTAATGCAGTGGCCAAAAAACTCAAATAGGAACCAGCAACAGTGGTCACACATAGCATATGAGTTCCATGTATGGGTGTGAAATTAAAATATCCATATATGATGGGAATGATGAAGCTGAAAGAGTAGCATCTCTGTATTCAATGGGACAGTTGTTACTCAGCTCCATCTGATTTTTGCCTTTCTGTTGCCAGATTTAAAAAAAATTTTTTTTTAGTTTTCAATTAGTTTACATTCAACATTATTTGCATTAGTTTCAGGTGTGCAGCCTAGTGGTGCTTCCTTCTTAAAGTGTGTTGCCAGATTTCTAAAACATTTCAAGAGAAACCAGAAATCTGATTTTTATGTGAATCTATTGTTTAATTGATATTGGCTCAAAATTTAAAAAACAAACGAACAAACAAACAAAACAGACACTAGTTTGAAATTCTCTAATTACAGAGGATTTGTTACTGGTGAAAGTATGAATGAGCTCATAATTTTGAAATAGTAGTAGGTGTAGGAGTAAAAATTGTTACTTAACCTGCTCAACTTGATTTTGAAAGTTATGATTCAGTGGAAGCATAAGCGGAGTCAGTTGATACAGAATTATAAATGAATTTCCTAAAATGACAATCTAGATTATCAGAGGGTGCACACTCTAAACAAAGTCCGTGGAAATATAAATATAACTTTACAGTTCTAGATTTATGGTGGGCATGATTACTCTAGGGCACACGAAAAGCAGAGTAATGGGAATTGTTAGCACGATGAATATTGGAAACATAAAAGGAGTTGTCTGTTTCAAGGATGGTTTCTATCAGTTGCAGCAGTTTCAGAAAAATTTCTTTATCCTTGAGACCCTCCTCCACATCTTTAAAAAAAAAAAATTTTTTTTTAACAGAAAGGAAGGGATAGGGATAGAGAGTTAGAAACATCGATTAGAGAGAAACATCCATTAGCTGGCTCCTGGATACACCCTACTGGGGATGTGTCTGCAACCAAGGTACATGCCTTTGGCTAGAATTGAACCCAGAACTCTTCAGACCGCAGGCCAACGCTCTATCCACTGAGCCAAACCGGTTTAGGGCTCTCCTCCACATCTTGCTGGATAAGCTCAATTCCTATATCTTGGTAGGAAGCCTGACTTTCTCCATTTGTCTTCATTAATGTGTCAGTCTATGTTATGTCCACCCTGACCCTCTTAGCTTTGCTTATATTTATTCTTTGTTCAACACCACTCCAGATACCTATTTACATTTTTCTCAATCTCATCTGAACTCCTCCAGAATTTATGCTTCAGCATTCCTCTTAACCTTTTAAAAATTGTTTTTAATATTTAAATATATTTTTATTGACTTCAGAGAGTAAGGGAGAGGGAGAGTACAAACATCAATGATGAGAGAGCATCATTGACTGGGTACCTCCTGCACATCCCACACTTGGGATCAAGCTCACAACCCGGGCATGTGCCCTGACCAGGAATCAAACTGCAACCTCCTGGTTCATAGGAGCCACACCATCTAAACCTTTAATCAATATCTACTATTGTCAATTATATGTATCCCTTATATGTCTGATCTTTGCTGAACAAGAGAATACATATTTATGAGGGTAGGCACTGTAATTTTTATATATCTTAAATCCCCAAGATCACCTCCAGGTTTGATTTGCCAAGAGGACTTATAGGATTCAGAATATAGTCATACTCACAGTTTGACTTATTACAGCAAAAAGATATAAAGCAAAATCAGCCAAGGGAAAAATAAAACACAAGCTTCTGAGTCTTCTCTCGCTGGACTCACACAGGACATACTTAATTCCTCCAGCAATAAGTTCTGACAACACATGTGAAATGTTGTCAGCCAGGGGCACTCATCAGAAACTCAAGTGCTTGGGTTTTTGTTGCTGTTGATCATGTAGGCAACCTCTGCCTACGACATACCAAAATTCCAGACTCCTAAGGAATATTCAGGTGCTTGACATAAATCATATTGTTTGCAGAAATGGTTCAGGCACAGTCAGCTACTCATCATTTTGGGAAAGTTTATATCAGTGTAGGGAACTGTTTATTATTCAAATATGAGTTCAGAAGAGCTAAACTATTTGCTTAATTTCACATGGCAAAACAAGTGAAGAAACTAGGCTTTAATATTTATTCCCAAATCAGTGTTTCTCTACTACACATACTGTATTTTTCCTAAATAGGTATTGCCTGTCTAATAGATTCATGTTTTATAAGTGGAATTTGCACCAAGTATGTAAAAAGGAGGTCAAGCACAGTAGATTTTCTTTGATTCTAGATTCTAGAATTCTAGTTTTAGAATTTCTAATTACTATCTTCTTAAGACAACAAGAAAAACTGGAAGTCGTAGAGAGTAGACCTTTGGTACCAGTGCTTGCTTTCCGTTTATGTCCACTCCTTTTGAAAGTGTATTTTGTCACATATAACAAACAAACGGATATAAAGATGAATAAGATCTTTGCCTCTGAAGAGCTCACAGTCTAATTTTGTTTAAAGAAAATGTAAGACAGAATGAGGTAAATACCATTAAGTACCTAACAGAAGCAGATGAGAAGAGTACAGAACAGTCGATACTAGTCAAAATAAGTTAAATGTTGTTGTCATTCTTTGAATATACAGCACCTATTTAAAGATGCATAATTGCTCATCTTGCTACAAACGTAAGGGAGCATCAACGCGTCCTATTCACAGACTTTAAGGACTCACAGAAAAGCTTTAGAGTAAAAAACGCTGACATTCTTTCGCAGACTGTTGAGCTTGGGTCTGAGATTTCCCAGGAACTGGTTTCGGTTCCGCGAGGAAAAGCTCGGGCAGAAGCTTGCAGGCAGCACCGAGCTGGGTGGTGAGCCTGCAGGCGGGGAGGTGCTCGCCGCGGCCAGGCAGGTAGCGCCCCGGAGGCCAGACCTCGCCCGGGACGCTCAGCCCTGCGGAGAGCGCGGCGGCCGCGGCGGCGGGAGGCAGCTTCCTGGCCCCGGGCCGCCGGGCAGCTCTGCGCATGCGCGTGAGTCGCGCGACAGCCGTCACTTACGGCCGAGGCGGTTGGTGCGGGGAGCGGGCGGCGCGCTGCAGCTCTCGGGACGGACGGCTCGGGCGCGGGTAATCAGCTCCCTTTCCCCCCCCTCTCGCCGCTCCTCGTAGGATCTCGGGACCATGGAGCTTCCTGACCCGACGCGGGCGCCCGGTCGTGGACTGCCTCCCCCACCCCCCCCGCCCCCCGCTCCCGCTCGGGGCGATCCGGCGCCCAGGTGGGGGTGAGGGGCGGGGCCGGGGCTCCATCCCGGCGTCTCCGCGGTGGGGTCTCCCGGGTCCCCGGGTCACTCCTGCTTTGCTCTCCTTCTCCAGGACTGGTATCCGGGACGGTGACTCGCAGGGTCCGCCATGGAGCCGGAGCAGATGCTGGAGGGACAGACGCAGGTACCCGGAGGCCCCGGGCGGGTCGTGGGGGCGGTGTGCGGAGACAGGGTGGCGGAGGGCTCTGACCTGGGTTTTGTTTTCCAGGTGGCAGAGAACCCTCACTCCGAGTACGGGCTCACGGATAACGTCGAGGTAACTCGCCCAGTTCCTATGCCGTGTCTGTACGTCTCTTAAGAGCTGGGGGTTTGGGGAGGGAGGGAGGGAACCTCGGGATCTGTTTTAACTAGGTTTGCTTTGCATAAGGGAAGAAACTTTATCATTATGAAGCAGATGCTATCACATTATGGGTAGCTTGTTTTTTTTTTGTGGTTTTTTTTTTTGGGGGGGGATAGCTTGTTTTATTAGTGGTACTAACACTTCGTGGTATGCAGACGTACACATTAATTTTTAGTGAAGAGGTTGAACTTGTGAAAGTGATGTAAAGGAACATGCCTACATTGCTAGTGGAGACTTAGAATTGTTTCGCCACCAGATATTGGGATATTGCTTTGGAAAAAACGTCACATTAAAATTAAGAAACCCGTTGTCTCTGTAGCAGGATTGTGTTGGTGTAGTCCAATGGTGATTTCTTTGCAGAGTTCAGTAGGCAGGTGCCATTGGAAACTATAATATACACAGTAGATACTGTTTTTGCCTTACATGGTTAAGTCTGAATTCAGAGAGTAAATGTGGGGTGGGGGGGGAAACTATGGAAAAGAAGATAACTTTTATAGAGTTTTTTTTAAATTTTTTTTTATTTTTTTATTTTTTTTAATATAAGTCCTAAGAGGTTATTGTCTAAAAGAAGAAGTTACTTTGTAAATGAATAAGTTCTGGGACAAATGAATTACTAGGAGGTGGGTGGAGTTGGTTAGGAAAACAGAGGCTTCCTGAAGATCTGTACGTTTTACTAAGAAAGGAAAGACATTACTGGTGATTAAGTTTGGACAAATGAGGGCAGAAGCATTTCTGAGGAGAATAATCATTGTAACAGCTGCTAGTATTTCTCTAGCCCTTTTACTATGTGTCAGGCACATCCTTAATAATTGGCATATCTCTTTAGCCCTATAAAGACCCAGAAGTTGAGTATCTTTAGTTAAAGGTTTCCAAGAGGTAAGTGGAGTTAAACCTAGGCAGGTTGACATGTTAAAAGTACAATTAAATTGTGTTGCTGATCTTGACCAACTCCTCGAGTTTGCTGGCATGTGGAATGACTACTCTGTGCCTATAAAACTGCTAGGCAATTGTATTGCTTTGTTATCAATACTGATAGAGAATCTTTTCTTTCTAATAAATACTGATAGAGAATCTTTTCTTTCTAATAAGTTTTCAGTTGAACTTCTGCTGAATCAGGTGAAGATACTTCACACCACTTTGTTTTCTAGTTATTTAAGAGATCTTTTTATTTTTTATTTATTTATTTTTAAAAAATATATTTTATTGATATTTTACAGAGAGGAAGGGAAAGAGATAGAGAGCTAGAAACGTCGATGAGAGAGAAACATCGACCAGTTGCCTCTTGCACACCTCCTTCCGGGGATGTGCCCTAACCAAGATACATGCCCTTGACCGGAATCGAACCAGGGACCTTTCAGTCCGCAGATAGACGCTCTACCACTGAGCCAAACCGGTTACGGCTAAGAGATCTTTTTAAAGCATCAGTGGTCTTTTCTTGATTGTGCTTGCATATGATGCTGGAGCCATGCTGCTGTAGAGTGATAACAGGATGCTTTTCCCCAGACCCTCAGTCCAATTTCCATGGTAAAGTGAGGGGGGAAAAAATGGAGTGGGTGTTCAATGATGATACATTATTTGGCGATTGGTCTTTCTGCTTCTATAATTTTAAACTGCTTGTTTTTTGAATTAATGGTGATAGTAAAGTAATTTGTTTATTTGTTAGTAATTTCTTTTACTTGGCAAAATAGAATTAACCCTATTAGTTTATTTATTGTATTAGTTTATTTCTAATTGTTTGCAATATATGAAAGCCTGGAAACCACAATTTGACAGCTGCTGCTGCTTTCTCTCTCTCTTTTTTAAAACATTTTTTATTTTTTTAAAAATATATTTTATTGATTTTTTACAGAGAGGAAGGGAGAGAGATAGAGAGCTAGAAACGTCGATGAGAGAGAAACTTCAACCAGCTGCCTCTTGCACACCCCCTACCGGGGATGTGCCCGCAACCAACGTACATGCTCTTGACCGGAATCAAACCTGGGACTTTTCAGTCTGCAGACTGACGCTCTACCACTGAGCCAAATCGGTTTCGGCTTAAAACATTTTTTAATTAAATTATTATCTGTGTACATATCTTACCATTGCCCCACCCCCTTCCCATTCATGCCTTCCCTCCCCAGAGTTTTGTGTCCATTGGTTGTACTTATATGCATGTATAAAAGTCCGGTTGATCTCTTATCTCCGTCAGATCTCCCTACCTTCCCCGCTGTAATTTGACAGTCTGCTTGATGCTTTACTGTCTCTATATCTATCTTTTGGTTCATCAGTTTATAATGTTCTTTATTATCCATAAATAAGTGAGGTCATGTGGTGTTTCTCTTTCATTGACTGGCTTGTTTCACTCAGCAGATGTTCTCCGATTCCATCCAGGTTGCTGCAAATGATAAGAATTCCTTCTTTTTTATGGCAGCATAGTATTCCATTGTGTAGATGTACCATAGTTTTTTGATCCAGTAATCTGCTGACAGGCACCTAGGCTGTTTCCAAATCCTAGCTATTGTAAATTGTGCTGCTATGAACATAGGGATGCATATATCCTTTCTGATTGGTGTTTCTAGTTTTTTGGGATATATTCCTATGAGTGGGATTACTGAGTCTAATGGGAGTTCCATTTTCAGTTTTTTGAGGAAGGTCCATACTGTTCTCCACAGTGGTTGCACCAGTCTGCATTCCCACCAGGAGTGCACGAGGGTTCCTTTTTCTCCGCAACCTCGCCAACACTTGTCTTTTGTTGATTTTTTGATGTTGGCCATTCTGACAGTTGTGGGATGGTACCGCATTATTGTTTTGATTTGCATCTCTTGGATAATTAGTGACTTTGAGCATGTTTTCATGTGCCTCTTGGCCTTCCTTCTGTCTTCTTTTGAGAAGATTCTATTTAGGTCTATTGCCCATTTTTTAATTGGCTCATTTATCTTTCTTTTATTTAGTTGTATAAGCTGTCTGTAGATGTTGGAGATTAAACTTTTATCAGTGATAACATTTGCAAATATGTTCTCTCATACAGTGGATTTTCTCTCTTTTTAAAAAAAAATTATTTTATTGATTTTTTACAGAGAGGAAGGGAGAGAGAGAGTTAGAAACATCGATGAGAAACACTGATCAGCTGCCTCTTGCACACCCTCTACTGGGGATGTGTCCGCAACCAAGGTACATGCCCTTGACTGGAATCCAACCCAGGACCCTTCAGTCTGAACCCGGGACCCTCCAGTCCATAGGCTGATGCTCTATCCACTGAGCTAAACGGGTTTCGGCTGCTTTTTCTCTTATGGTTTTCTTTTTATTGGTTTGTTTAATTATTTTTAGGTGTTGGCTTTAGGATTTATATAGTATGCAAGTTTAATTTACCACAATTTACCTTCAAGTGGTGGTATACATTTTCATTTATAGTTTAAGAATTTTACAATAGCAGTCTTTCATTCATTTACTTTTTCCTGGCCTTTCTACTATTGCTATCATATATTTTACTTCTACATATGTTATAAATTCTACACTTCATTATTTTTATTTTTCTTTAAAAATTCAGTGATCTTTAGAGAGATTTAAGCAGTGGATTTACACCTACAGTCCTCCGCTCTACCAGCTGAGCTATCGAAGGGAGCGAAAGATTTAAGCAGTAAGAAAAAGGAGTATTTCACGTTTACCTACACATTTACCATTTCTGGGCTCTTCATTCTTTAAAAAATATATATATATTTGTATTGATTCAGAGAGAAAAGGAGAGGGAGAGAGACATAGAAACATCAATGATGACAGAACCATGGATTCCTCCCTCTAGGAATCCTCCACTGGGGATTGCGCCCCCAATCCAACCGGGATGGAACTGTGACCTCCTGGTTCAGAGATTGAAGCTCAGCCTCTGAACCATACCATTCAGGCAGCTTTTCATTCTTTAGTGTAGATCCAGACTTCTGTCTGTCACCATTTTTCTTTTACCTGAAGTGTTTCCTTTAACATTTCTTGTAGTTCAGGTCTGCTGGTAAGGAATGCTTTAAGTTTCTGTATGTGTGAAAATGTCATTTTCTTTGCCTTCATTTTTTGAGATATCTTTGCTGGGAGCAGATTTATTCCACTGTCTTTTGGCTGATATTGTTTCTGACAAGAAGTCTGCTATCATTCTTATCTTTGCTCCTTCATACTCAATGCCTTTTTTCTTAGGTCTTTTAAAATTTTATTAACAGGTTTAAAATAATTTGATTATGTTGTTTCTTGGTATACTTTAAAAATTGTTTTTTCTTTTTTTTCTTAAATTTTTGTTTTTTGTGCTTAGGATTTATTGAATTTTTTGGATCTATACATTTTGTTTTTATGAAATTTTAAAACAATTTTAGCTATTCAAATTATTTTCAAGTATTTTTAACTTGTGCTTTCTTCTATACTCTTGAACACATGGAAGGAATATCTTATAATAACTTTAATAACATTGCCTATTTTATCATTTATATCATTTCTGGGTTTCTCTGAGTTGATTTTTCTCCTCATTATGGGTAATATTTTCCTGCTTTGCTGCTTTACAATTTCTTTTTATTCTCATCTGAGGATATATTTTTTGATTTTAGAGAGAGGAAGGAAGAGAGAGAGAGAGTGAGATAAAGAAAGAAAAACATCTGTCGGCTGGCTCCTGCATGTCCCTTGACAGGGATTGAGCCTGCAAACTGGGCATGTGCAATATTTTATTGGAAGCTGAGTATTATAAATTTTACCTTATTGGGTACTGGTAATCTTTTTATTCCTTCAAACATTCTTGAGCTTTGTCCTAACAGTGGTTGGCAAACTAATCAGTCAACAGAGCAAAATATCAACATTACAACGATTGAAATTTCTTTTGAGAGCCAAATTTTTTAAACTTAAACTTCTTTTAACGCCACTTCTTTAAAATAGACTTGCCCAGGCTGTGGTATTTAAAAAATATATGTATTTTATTGATTTTTTACAGAGAGGAAGGGAGAGAGATAGAAACATCGAGGAGAGAGAAATATCAATCAGCTGCCTCCTGCACAACCCCTACTGGGGATGTGCCCACAACCAAGGTTCATGCCTTTGACCGGAATCGAACCTGGGACCTTTCAGTCCGCAGGCTGACGCTCTATCCACTGAGCCAAACCGGTTTTGGCAGGCCGTGGTATTTTGTGGAAGAGCCACACTCAAGGGGCTGCAGTTTGCCGACTACGATCCTAGGACATAGTTACTTGGAAACAATTTGATCTTTTTGAGGTTTGCTCTTCCCTAAGTAGGACCAGATCAGCCTTTAGTTTAGGCTTCATTTCTTTTTCTTTTATATTCTATCCACTGCTTCATATGTTATGAGGTTTTCCAGTCTAGGTCACAGAAACATGAAGTACTCCTGGCCTGTGTGAGTGCTCCTTCCACATGTTTTTTCCCTTGGCCTCCAGTAGTTTCCTCACACCCATGCATGGATAGGAACTCACCGAAGACTGGATGGCAGTCTCTTAGAAGTTTTCCTGTGCCACTTGCTACCTCCCATGTGAATTCTAGATGGCTTTGTCTCCCTGAATTTTCAACTCTCTTCTCAACCCAGGGAGACTGTGGGTTCTGCTCTGATTCCCTTTGGTTTCCTGTATTGCATCTTACAAGTTCTCCAGGCAGGAAGCAGTAAGTTGGGGTAATCATAAGCTCACCTTATTTTTTTCATTTTTTTCTATCACTCTTCTAAACTGTTAACAGTTTATTATTTATGTTTTATAGTAGTTTGGAGATACAGTTGTTTTTTTAGATCGGTTCAGGACTTTATCTTAACTAAAGTTAAGCATAGCAATTTGGCACATAGTGAAAATTCAGTAAATATTTAATGAAACAAATGAGAGAACTTGGTTAAGGAGTTTATTATAGTATTTATAGGATTTGGTTAGGGATTGCTGTTTCTTACTGAAAGCATTGGGATGTCATGTAACTGACTAATTTTTGTCGTATATAGGTATTTCTGTTGAAAATTACTGACGGGCACTAAGTAATCTATGGACAAATAAATAGCTCTATTACTAGGTATAGGAAAATTTCTTATTAAGTCCTAAAATTACATTGAAAAATCATAAGCAAAATTAGAATTGCTGCCTTACAAATTTGTAGGAACTATCTTTGGAAAGCATGGTATATATTATGTAGATATGCGATTAAAGTTTTTTCTCACTTTTTACAAAATAAAATTAAATCTAAAAATATTAAAGATAGGAAATGTTTTGTTGTTGATTTATTTATATTCACTTTGATTATGTTTGGAGCAAAAGTTCATTTATTTTATTTTAAAAAAATATATATTTTATTGATTTTTGTACAGAGTGGAAGGGAGAGAGATAAAGAGTTTGAAACATCAATGAGAGTCATCGATCAGCTGCCTCTTGCACACCCCCCACTGGGGATGTGCCCGCAACCAAGGTATATGCCCTTGACCGGAATTGAATCCGGGGCCCTTCAGTCTCCAAGCTGATGCTCTATCCATTGAGCCAAACCTGTCGCGGCTGAGCAAAAGTTCATTTAAATGGAAGTGCTCTTAATAGTGTTCTGGATTTTAGATAGCCACTTATTTTTAAATTTCTAAAACGGTAATTTTTCAAAAGAAGGGAAAATTTTTCACTAGGGTAGTATTTTTTTTTTTTTTTAAATATATTTTATTGATTTTTGTACAGAGTGGAAGGGAGAGAGATAGAGAAGATCAATGAGAGAGTCATTGATCGTTTGCCTCCTGCAGGCCCTCTTTTGGGGATGGAGCCAGCAACCCAGGCATCTGCCCTTGTCTCTGGAATCGAACTTGAGATCCTTCTGTCTGCAGGCCAACGCTCTACCCACTGAGCCAAACAGCTAGGGCTGTAAAGTAGTTTTTGATGCTCTGGATGTCAGTTGAATCTATGTGAAAGTCCTCAGATTTGGGGGTTCTTAAACATCATTTGAATATCACAATCATCTTTTCCATATTATTCTTTTTCCCTGTTTTTTTTGTTTGTTATCTTTTACTTACTTTTTTTTCTTTATTCATTTAAAAAAATCATAGATACATAAACAAATAAATAAATGGAAAAGCATTCTCATTGGATAGTGGGGTTTTAGCTGCATTTTGTTTCCAGTGGAAGGCGTTGAGCCTGAAGCCTACTCTCTGTGTGAACAGAGTTAAGCAAGTGTTACAGAAGTGTTAAAGACATTAGCACCCAACTGAAACTTTGTCCTTGATATTATCTGTGATGAAAGAATTGAAATAAGACTAGCTTTCTCACTGTGATTCAGTGCTACTTAGTTGCATGTCCAGATTTTTTAAAGTACACTGTACGAAGGCAATCTCATGAAAAAAGGAGGACTTGTATTTACTTCTAAAAAGGCAGAGGAAAGTGACAAAGAGGTAGGATCTAGAGATCTGGCATTAAAAGAAAGAGATGGTGCTCTCAGAAGACACTTGAATGAAATTTAGAGATGGGTCTGATTTTATTTTGGCAAAGAGATTTGCAGTTCAGTACCAGTTTTTAGTCAATGGCTTGCCTTTTCTATTAGCGTCATGTTTCCATTATTTTTTGTTTAACACTCACAATAATCTGAGTATTTGTAATATTATGCATATTTTTTGGATTCACTAGAGGATAGTAGAAAATGAGAAGATTAATGCAGAAAAGTCATCAAAACAGAAAGTGGATCTACAGTCTTTGCCAACTCGTGCCTACCTGGATCAGACAGTTGTGCCTATCTTATTACAGGGACTTGCTGTGCTTGCAAAGGAAAGGTAAGATAATAGTATCTGCAGAAGGAGTTAGCAGAGAATGACTTTTCTAATTGAAATATCACTAGTTATGTATATTTTTTTCCTATAAAAAGAATTTAGGCATATTAAAAACATTTTAAAAGTCAGCCATAATCTCAGTTCAGACACTTCAAGTTTTTTCTACAAGTCTTTGATCATATGCATATTTACAAAGACTTGTAATCATGGTATACATGCAGTTTTATATCTCCTTTTTACTGAATATTATAACAAAGTTTTTTTTTCCCATATCTCTTCATAGACTTCATGATTATAATTTAAATTATAATAGTACAATTAATTTAGGGCAATTAAATAGTACAATTAATTTTCTCATGTTGAAAATTTAAATTCAGTTTCCTTTGTTGTTAAAGAACATCAGGCAGTTTATCTGTTTTCATGCCTCTTGTTGTTATGTAATTACTTTCACATGCTAAATTTCTAAGAGTTGGTTTACTAGTTCAAAGGATATAATTTTTATGGTGTTTGATACTTAGTATCATATTTATGTCCAAAATTTTATTTTCTTTTTTAGAGAGAGTAGAAGAGAGGGGAGAGACACAGAGAGAGGAACATTGATGTGTGAGATAGATACATCAATTGGTTGTCAACCACATGTGCCCCAACCTGGGACAGGGATTGAGCCTGCAACTGAGTTATGTGCCCTTGACTAGAATTGAACCTGGAATTCTTTATTCCCATGGTCGGCAAACTCATTAGTCAATAGAGTGGCAAACCGCGGCTTGTGAGCCAGTCACAGTTTGTCGACCACTGCTTTAGACTGTGGGCTGATGCTCTACCCACTGAGCAAAACTGACTAGGACCAAAAGTTTATTCTTTTTTTTGGAAAATATATTTTATTTCTTTTTTTTACAGAAAGGAAGGGAGAGGGAGAGAGAGTTAGAAACATCGATGAGAGAGAAACATAGATCAGCTACCTTCTGCATACCTCCTACTTGGGATGTGCCCGCAACCAAGGTTCATGCCCTTGACCAGAATTGAACCTAGGACCTTTCAGTCCACAGGATGTCGCTCTGTCCACTGAGCCAAATCGGTTAGGGTCAAAAGTTTATTCTTAAAATTCTTTCACTGTTATAGCTTTAACAGCATGAGTATTATAAACATTTTTTGCCAATTAAAAAAAAAATTATTTTTGGGGGGAAGAGAGAGAGAGGGGGAGAGAGAGAGAGAGACACACATTGATTTGTTGTTCCACTTGTGTATTCATTGGTTGATTCTTACATGTACCCTGACTGGGGATCAAACCAGCAACCTTGGTGTATCAGGACGATACTCTTAACTAGCTGAGCTACCTGGCCAGGGCTTGCCAAATTGTTTCAATTTCTTTATTAACAAGATTATAATTTTTCTCTTTTTTTGTATAGGTTTTACTCCAGAAATTCTACCTAAATTATTTTAGTGTAAGCAAATCCCATAAAAAATATTTTTTGTAAGTTACATTAGTCATCATTTATTTGGTGCAGATTATGTTTTATTCAAAGAATAATAATGAATACTAGCCCTAGCTGGTCTTACATTGATGTTTCTCTCTCTGTCTCTCCCCCTCCCCTTTCACACTCATTAAAAATCAATGGAGCCCGGCCAGCGTGGCTCAGTGGTTGAGTGTCGACCTATGAATCAAGAGTTCAGGGTTTGATTCCCAGTCAAAGCACATGCCCGGGTTGCGGGCTCCATCCCCAGTAGTGGGGCGTGCAGGAGGCAGCTGATCCATGATTCTCTCTCTTCGTGGATGTTTCTCTCTTTCTCTCCCTTTCCTTTCCTCTCTGAAATCAATAAAAAAAATATATAAAAAAATCAATGGAAAAAATATCCTTGGATGACTATTAACAACCACCAAAATGAATAGTAGTAAACATATAATTTGATAAGGAACTTGATGTTTTCTTATTAAGAGAGCTCATCATTGATGTTTCTATCCCTTTCTCTCTCTCCCCCTCCCTTCCTCTCTGAAATCAATAACAATATATTGAAAAAAAGAAAAAGAGACTTACTCATCAGCTGCTACATGCACACCCCTGCAATATGGGCATGTATCCTGCCTGAGTGGGAATTGGGTTCATGGGTTGATGCTCAACCACTGAGCCACTCCAACCGGGCATGTTTTTATAAATTATATGGTAAACATTAAATATTTGTTTTAGATTGTTACATTTATAAGATGATTTATTTTTTATTTTTTTAAAACATCTTTTAAAAATATATTTTTATTGATTTCAGAGAGGAAGGGAGAGGGAAAGAGATAGAAACATCAATGATGAGAAATAGTCATTGATCGGTTGCCTCCTGCATGCCCCCCAGTGGGCATCAAGTCCGAAACCCAGGAATATGCCCTTGACCAGATTCAAGCCTGCGACCGTTCAGTCCACAGGCTGATGATGCTCTATCCACTGAGCCAAACTGGCTAGGGCAAATATGATTTATTTTTGCCTCTCTACTGATGATGAATGGATATCTTTTATTTTTTTCTTTCTCTAAAAAATAATTAGAAATTCTAAATATTTACGAGCTAGAAAAAATTTGAAGCAGTCCTAAGTTATATGGTATTAGTATATACAATTTTTAAGAAGTTTGATTTATCAAATTAATCTTAAAAAATGTTGTCTATGTCTAGCTAGTTAAAAGATAGTTTAAAGTGCCAAGGGAATATTTTGAGATCATTATTAAATATTCTCAATATGCCTTTTCCTAGTAGGGTTTAAATAGGTTTCCCCCCCTTTTTCTTTTCTTTTTTTTTTTTTTTTTTTTAATATACTTTATTGATTTTTTTACAGAGAGAAAGGGAGAGAGATAGAGAGCTAGAAACGTCGATGAGAGAGAAACATCGACCAGCTGCCTCTTGCATGCCCCCTACCGGGGATGTGCCCGCAACCAAGGTACATGCCCTTGACTGGAATCGAATCTGGGACCCCTCAGTCCGACGCTCCACCACTGAGCCAAACCGGTTTTGGCTTTACCCCCATTTTCATCTTTGGACTTGTTTTCTCAGCAAGAATTATTTATACAAAAGTGATAAGTATGAAGTTATACCCCTAAACTTCAAAATACGTTTAACTTTTCAGGTGTGTTGTATAGTGGCAGTATTAGAATTACTATTGATTTAAATTATTTTAAGAAAAATAGAAATGACATTTTAAAAAGCAAAACAAAACGTGTTCAAATGAATACTACTTCCTTTGATTAATCACTTAGATAGTTCCTCTACCTGTCTTGGTGATGCTACAGCCTATGTAGTTTTGGTATTCTTATTGAAGGATGATATTCATACAGAAAATTAAGAATATTATAGGTGTATTGCTTGCTGAATTTTCTGGCACTAAGTTATGTAACCTGCATTCAAACTGAACACTGCTGGCACTCTAGAAGTTTCCCTTGTGGTCCCTCAAGTCATTATTCCCCTGGGATAATTATCATCCCATTGTTAGTACATTTTCTAAACTTGTGTTTTAGAATTGAGTTCATAAGCAGATTTCAGCCATACAAAAATTTCAATTTCTTTAAACTACATTGTTGGCTAATCTGCTACCCTGTCTCATTTACTATACAGGATGTCCCCCCAAAATGTAATTATTAATTTCTGTGGGTTAAACCAGAAAAGGAAAAAACAAGTGAGCTATCAGAAAAAAGTATGTAGACATTTTTTGGGGACACCCTGTATTTATTTACTACAAATGGCCTTTCAATGTAAAAAGAAAGCTAAAATTTAAAAGATATTTTTATTATGGAACAATTTATTTAGATGAACACATCTAGAATACAAATTTCTAAATTTTGGATTTCTTTTTCTTTACAGACCACCAAACCCCATTGAATTTCTAGCATCATATCTTTTAAAAAACAAGGCACAGTTTGAAGATCGAAACTGATTGGGAAGAACAGAAAAATTTGGTTTCTACTATAGATTTACATGATTAAGAGGCAGCTTTAATTGCCATGATTTCCCCCCACCCCTTTTTGGAAGTATAAGAACCGTCAGGACAACAACTTGTTCTTGGAGATGCAGAAGAAAACATATTTCCCTTATTTTGATTTAATCACCATACTTATTTAAAGAGTGTATTATGTGCAATTTTTTCTCAGATTGTCTTTAACTTTGTTTTTAAAATGACCTTCAAAATAAACTGTTAAATGTCATTATTGTAAAGTAGTTTTTGTTCTATATGCTAAGTAATTTATGTGGTTCAATTACTTTTATGACTTTCGTATCTTAGAATGCTGCAGAGTTTTACAACAGCATGAAAATACATCAGAATCTAATATAATATTAAAAAACCCAATTTTTTCAGCCCTGTTCCTGTACCTCTACAGTTTTCAACAACTATAATAGATGATTCTAATGCACAATAAAGTTGGATTACTGGTGTAAGTGCAGAGGGTGTATAATTTCCTCCTGTGCTATCAACCTTTATGGTAATAATATAATAGCTATCATTGCAGTTCTACATGCCAGTTGCAGTGCTATTTTACTTAAATTATCTCTAATATAGCAACTCTGCGAAGTAGATATTGTTATTCCCATTTTGCAGATGAGGAAACAGATTTGGAGAGGATAAGTGACTTGCTGAAGACCACACTGGTAAGTGTTTGAATGGGCACTGAAACCCACTTTTACCAATATGTTGCTTATATCTAAGTCAGAAGTATTTGTGATACTTAACTTTATTGCTTCTTTTTACAATAAAAAAAGTCAGACCTTTTTTGGGGGGTGTCTGCTCACTTTGACCTGTATGAATGTAAGGGAGAGGGAGAGAAAAAAATCTAAGTGAGATTGGAACGTCAATAGGCCTTCTCCTGCACATCCCCAATTGGGGGATTGAGCCAGCAATCCAGGCATGTGCACTCACCAGGAACTGAACTGGGATGACACCCAACCAATTGAGCCACAGGGCTTAAATTTTATTTATTTATTTAATGTATCTGCCAGTTGTCTGCTTTAAACTATACCAAAGATCTGTTCACTGTGAAATTCTGATGTAACAATTTTATGGCTTTTAAACACAAAGCTTTCATTGAAGATACTCAACTTTCTCTGTCTTACCAATTTTAGAATGGTTTACTTCCTAACAACACTTATTGGGAAATCCAAGAAATCTTATTTTGCTGTGATTCTTCTATAATTTAAAGGAATTCTTTTGCCCTTGACCCTAACATGAAATACTAGGGTTGATTAAAGTATGGAGGGTTGGAAACAATGTTTGCTGTTTGCCTACTATGCCTTGCTCTATGTTTATTAACTCATAATCCTAGGGACATCCGAATATTATTATCCCCATTTTATAGATGAGAATAACTGAGGCTAGCTATACCACATTTTAGCTAGTTAGGGAGTTAAGACATGTACCTACATAAATATAACATGAAACAAGACAAATGTTTACAGCGTCAAAGCTAAGATTGGCTGGTAAGGGTGGCCTTGTGAAGCCAAAGCCAGCGTTTGCAGGACCTCAGGGATACTACCATGTCCCTGCGCTAATGAACTCCCCAGCGTGGCTACGGACTTGCGGCTCCAGCAGTGAACCTTGGGGTGCGAATGCACTAAGGGTCCCTGGGTGTGATGCCGGGAGGGCGGTGCCAGCTGGACTTGCAGGTAGAAAGCACCATCTGTGGACCCCGGTGCCGCTCCGGGAAGGAACTGGCTGGGGGAGGGGGCTTGCCCTGCGGCTGCGTCCGCTCCCGAGCCCGCCCCGCCCGGCGCTGCCGCCGCTAAACCCCGGCGAGCGGAGCGCGCACGTTGCGAGTGCCGGCGGCCGGCCGCCGCGCTGGGCATGCTCAGTGGGCAGCACCCGCTGGAGCAGCGAGTGAGGGAGCGCCGGCCCCTGCGGGTCCGCCCGCCCGCCCGCCCGCCCGGTGCAGGCCCGGCCTGGGCTTTGTGTGCGCGGGGCCGCCCGACCCCAGATGCCGTCCGGCCAGGCCGGCTTCCGCCTTTAACCCGCCGCCGGCGCAGGAGGGGCGGGCGGGGCCGCGGCGCGGGGCGGGAGGCCGGCCGGCGGGGTGGGGTGGGTGGGGTGGGTGCTGGGAGTCCCGCGGGGTGGGGGTGGGGTGGGGGCGGTGCGGAGTCACGGGGGTGGGGTCACCGCGGTGGCTCCGGGAGGCCGACCGCGAGGCGAGGGGGCCGCGGGGGCGGCGCGGCGCGGACCAGCCCGGGCCGGGCAGCAGCGGCCACTCCGGGGCCGGCCCTGGGCGCTCGGGGCGTCGGGAGGCCGCCGCGGGCCCCACCTTCCGGCGGCCGCCGGAGTTCGTGCCGATCGTGGCCGCCGCCGCCCGGCTGCCATCTCCTCCTCCCGGGCCGCTGCCTCCTCCTCTTCCTCCTCCTCCTGGGCCGGGCCGACCTCCTCCCCGCCGCCGCCTCCTCCTGGGCCGGGCCCGCGGCGCCTCGTCCCCTCGCGGAGCCGCTCCCGCCGCCGCCGCCGCCTCCTCATTCATCCTCGTGCACCATAGGCGGCACCGGCTCCAAGATGTCCAACCGAGTGGTGTGCCGGGAAGCCAGCCACGCCGGGAGCTGGTACACAGCCTCAGGTAGGGCCCGCGCCGCCGCCCGCCTGGCCCCGCGCCCGCGGCCGAGGCTGCCGGCCCTGCCCCGGCGGCGCGGACCGGGCGGCGGCCTCGGCGGACCGCGTGGGCAGGAGGACCGGGCCGGCCTCCGCCTCCCCCGGCGGCGCCCCCGGAGCCGGCGGCCGCCCTCGCGCGCACCCGGCGGAGTTGGGCGGCGGGAGAGTTGCCCGGCCGCCCGCGCCGCCCGCGGGACCGGGCTCGAGGCGGGAGCGTGCTCCCGGGGCGCCCGGCTCTCCTCGGCTCCCCGCTCCCCTCGGCTCCCGGAGCGGGCGGCCGGGCGCTGCCTCCCGGGAGCCCGGTGCCCGGCGCCCCCGCCCCGCTTCCTGCACCCGGAGCCCGCGCCCCTCCGGCCGGGCTCCCCGCCGGCGCCCCGGACCCGGCCGCCCTGGGAGCCTCGGTGCACGCGGGCCGCTCGCCGCTGCGGGAGGAGGCGCCCGGCCCCGGGGCGCGGGGAGAGAGGCGGCCGCGGTGCCCGCTGCGGGAGCGGCGCCGAGGGGCACTGTCCCGCGTTGCCAAACCGGAGCCCAGGTCTCCGCGTGCGAGCCCCGGGGAGGGCCGGGCCGGGATTGGAGCCCTCGGCGGCGGCGGTGTCGCTGAGCAGAGGCTCCTTTGTCAGGGGTCGCATTGTTCCTGTCATCCAGGAAGGGGCACTGGGCACGGCCTCAGCACTTTTCCTGCGCTGCCTCCGGCCGCGGGCACTCCACAGCGAGCAGGTGCTGGCACCGCCTCAAGAATGAGGTTCGGTTTGAGCGAATTTAGTCTGATGTCCACACGGTCTGAAAAAACACTTTCCAGCTCTTTACAGAAGTGTAGGGACTTTCCCTGTTATAACGCTCTCTCTCAGGGTGACTGCTTTCTGGGGTTACTTTCAGGCTTCACATTTCTGGTAAGTTAACAAAGTTCCACTGTGATTTCTAATAGATTTCAGCCATTTGGTAGCGGCTTATCAATAACTAGACCTAACTTTAAAAAAAACCCAAAAAACTTTATTGTTAAAAGTGTTACATATGTCCCCTTTTTTGCCCCCCATCGATTCCTTCCAGCCCATTCCCACCCCCACCCCCATCCCCGCCCCAGGCCTCCACCACCCCACTGTCTGCTCCATGAGCATCCAAGGTCTTTGGTTGATTATCTCCCTTCTTCCCCCCTTCCCCTCCGAGATAGACCTAACATTAAATCGGATCTTGTCTCCCTTTGCAACTAGGTGGGTTGGATAGTGACAGAGTTTGGGAGAAAACAAAGATTTGGAAGAAAATTCATTCCTCTGAGCTTGCTAAACCAGCTTATTAAATACACACACTTAACTGACTCACTGAAGGTTTGCTGTGTTAAGAAGACACAAAAGAATTTTATGATTGGATTTGCAAGCCTAACTTAGCTACAGTTTTAACTAAATTACATCTAATGGATACAATGGCTTTCCTTCATGGGCCTAGAGTATTTCATAAACATTTAATCAGTTCTTACAACCGTACAATGTCAGTTCAGCTTTTCTTGTTCACCATGTGGGAATGTGCCCCAAACTCTAATAAGCCAGTGGCAGAACAGAATTGATGAATGGGAGTCCCTGGTTCCTGAGTTTGTTCTCCAATTAGTGCATTATTAATATTAAATTTGTCAATGGATAATAATATTTGCAGGGTTGTAAACTTATAAGTTTTCTTCAATGTGTTTTGAAGAGTAAAAAGTCTCAGTATTCACTTTCTTTGCCATCTTTTGGTTAATTTCTTTTGCTTTTGTTTTTTATACTTTCTATAAATGTTTTAAACTTTTCTGTAGTTGGCATTGAAATGTGGGCAAATGATTCTGGAGGAATTTTTATAGCTTCTTGGACATTCTTTGTGTAGTAAAATAAGGCACAGTTCACACTTTGAACTTGAAAAAGACTTATTTAGTAATCTCAAGCAGAGGAAGAATCCGTTAATCCAGCTCAAAACAGCCTGTGATTATAGCTGTTTATCAATATTAATCCAAAATGGACTATTTTCTTAAAAATTTAAAATATATTGTCTTTTTAAAATTCTGAATGAAATAAAAAATGCCATTTGGTAATGAGATTGTCACAGAGAACTTTAAAAAAATTCAGACTATGTGGCTTTTGTGTATGTGTATGTATACATGTATATGTGACTTTAAATTGGAGTACGTAATAATTTAGGGGGAATTTAAAGCAATTTAGTTGTAAAATCTTACTTTGCATTTAAAAAAATAAATGAAAATGTAGGTAAGGAAATTTGACTTGATCTAGTGAGTTCTATATTTAATATTATCCCAGTATATCTATAATAATAACATTGACCATTGGAAAAATTCTACTTGTATTATTCTTGTTTCCCTAATAAACTAGCCCTAAAAATGTGTAATAGGAGAGCATTGTACTTGTGGGTTGTCAATTCTGTGGTTCCTATGGCATTCACATTGTATCTGTGGAGTTAAAGTGTACAATTACTGATGTAAGGTGAGGGTGAAATCACATTTGCTTCAGTTAATAGCTAGTTTATTTATTTTAAATATTTTTATTGATTTCAGAGAGGAAAGGAGTGGGAGAAAGAGAGAAACCTGAATGATGAGAGGGAATCATTGATTGGCTGCCTTTTTCATGCCTCCTACTGGGGAGAGAGCCTGCAACCAAGCATGTGCCCTTGATTGGAATCGAACCTGGGACCCTTTAGTCCGCAGGTAGATTCTCGATCCACTGAGCCAAACCAGCGAGGGCAATAGCAAGTTTAGAAAAGTGTGAGTGTGTGTATACGTATGTATATCTTATTTTATTTAACCCTTGTTATATGCTAGATCCGTTGGTAGAGAGAAGTATAAATTATTCCCTGTCCCTAGGAAAATGCAGTTTATTTGAAGTAAGAAATAGCCCTGGGCAGCAAGTAAAAATCAGGATAATTGAGACAGTGCTCTTGGGAGTTCTGAGGAGGGTGGAATCACTTCACTGTGGGATTTGAATTGTGCTTTGAAGAAAGGATGTTTGGTCAGGTTTGGGAAGGAGGAAAGAACATGGGAGAACATTACAAAGGTACAGAGGCAGGTAAATGTAGGTAGGTCAATTTAATAAGAATGGAAGATTCACCCAGGGGTGAATCTGATTGGAACTAGAGTATAGATGACTATGAATGCTATGCATCATAGGGATTTGACTTAGTCCATAGGCAGTCGGGACCTATGTAGAAGTTTCTGAGTAGGGGACTAATAATAGCGTAGCATTTTAGGGAAACTAATCTCTACGCAGGTTAATCCTCACTTCTTTATAGGTGTACAGCGGGCCGGGACGGGTTTGGCTCAATGGATAGAGCGTCGGCTTGGGGACTGAAGGGTCCCAGGTTCGATTCCGGTCAAGGGCATGTACCTTGGTTGCGGGCATATCCCCAGTAGGGGGTGTGCAAGAGGCAGCTGATCAATGACTCTCTCTCATTGATGTTTCTAACTCTCTATCCCTCTCCCTTCCTCTCTGTACAAAAATCAATAAAATATATAGGTGTACAGCGGGGATCAGCAAACTTACTGCAGTCACAAATCCAGCCTGCTGCCTTAAGAAAGTAATACAGTCCACTAGCTAAGAATGGTTTTTAATTTTTAAAAGGTTTAAAAACAAAAACCAAGAAGTGCAATAGAGACCATCATATGTGGCCCCTAAAGCCTAAAATCCTTTTTATTTGGTCCTTTACAGAAAAAAAAATTGTTAAACCCTTTCTGTAGGTTAGTGGTGTTCAAAGTGTGATCTCTAGACCAGCAGCATAATGTGTCTGTACTCTGTATTTTCTCCAGATTTGTTACAGCTTGCATTTCATTATTTCAGGCCCTTTTATCTCCTGCAGGACAGATATAACTGCCTCCTAACCGGCCTTCTTTCTGCCAATCTTATCCCCCTTCACTCCATCTTCTGCATTGCTCCCTGAATAATCTATCTGCCCACATAATTTCTTTACATAAACTTCACTGGCCCATCTAGCCCATTGCTTAAGGTCTAATAACTCCCTTGGTGACTTGGCATCTATTTCTTTGGCCACTTTCACCCGCCCATCCCAGTTCTTGCCTTTATTATCCTTAGCAGCTGTTCTTTGTTTTTTTTTTTGTTGTTGTTTTTTGTTTTTTTTTTAAATACAGTGTACAGTTTCTTATCACTATGCTTTTGCCAAGCTGTTCTCTGTTGGAATGCACTTTGTCAGGATAACTCCTACTCACCTTTTATTTATTTAAAAAAAAATTTATTTATTGATTTTAGAGAGGGAAAAGGAAGGAAGGGAGGCAGGGAGGGAGGGAAGAGAGAAAAGGAGGTAGGGAGAAACATTGACTTGTTCCATCTATCCATGCATTCATTGGTTGATTCCTGTATGTTTCCTAACTCGCTGTGGAACCTGCAACCTTGACATGCTCCAATCAATTGAGCTACCAGGCCAGAGCACTCCTATTCATATTTTAAAGATTCAGGTGCGGACACCTCCAAGAAACTTACTCGAATGCCTTATCTGTCCTAGTTTATCTTAATTTTTTTTTTTTTTTTTTTTTTTTTTTTTTTTTTTTAAGCCCAGCTGGCGTGGCTCAGTAGTTGAGCATTTACCCATGAATCAGGAGGTCATGGTTTGATTCCTGGTCAGGGCACATGCCTGTCTTGTGGGATGTGCATGATGTTTCTTTCTCTCTCCCTTTCTTTCTCTGAAATCAGTAAAAAATACGCTGTTTACTTTTTCATATTGATTTGTAGTTCTTTTTAGATTCTGGGTATAATCTTGTTAAATATGTCTGTTACAAGTATCTTCTACTTTGTAGTTAGCTCTTTTGGCATTCCAGAGGGATCCCTTACAACTTAGTATTTTTTGAAGTTGGTAGGTTTTATAGATATATATTTTTTGAATATATTTTATTGATTTATTATAGAGAGGAAGGGAGAGGGATAGAGAGCTAGAAACATTGATGAGAGAGAAACATCGATCAGCTGCCTCCTGCACACTCCCTAC